CGTTGGCGAGTGAGTTCGGTATCATACATATTCTTTAAAATTCTGGATACTATGAGATACGGCTATCCTATGGAAATATTCCATTAAAAATGTCAATTCTAACTTCATGAATGTATTGCCAAATTGTCGCTGTCAAAATCATCGCTTCACCCGAAAAGGTATAAAAATGAGGCAATAGGGCAATTTCTAAAAAATTAATTCGAGAAAGCTCGAGTTCCAGTCCTTGGAAATTAAGTACTGTTTGGGAAAACTATGGACTCATTTGAAAATATTTTATAAAATTAGGGGTTTTTAAATACCCAGTCTGGGAAGCTGAGTAACCATTTTTGGAAAATTAAGTATCATTCAGAAAAAATAACATACCGCTCGAAGAAATGTTTGTTAGTGATTTGACCCTTTTTGTACGTACAATTCAAAACCTATGACATCTTTTAAGACTATACGTTAAATATTCTAGTTTTGTTCCCAGACCGTAGTGCCTCAAGACACTGATCATCAACTCTTTTAAGATAATTGGGAAGAATGACATTCTCCAATGCCCCCTAACAGAGTTTGACGCTGAGAGACTACTAAAATTTTGGGTAATCTGGACTTGCAAATGACTAAAAAATTTTAACAATTTGAATTAGTAAATAACTTAAAGGTGAAATATTTAAACTTGCTAATGTTCTTAAAAATTGAATTATTTGGACTTTGAAATGGTTTAAAAAAATAAATAAAAGAAAACATGAGTTGTGAATTAAAAGTCAAAATAATCATTCAAATTATTATTCAAGTCATTTCAAGAAAATAAAATTATTTATATTAGACATAAATGTTTATGAACAAATTGATAAACCACAATATAATGAGATTAAACTTCTCTTTGACTTCAAATTCGATCATATTTGAAGATGATCAAATAAAAATATATGTCATGATGTAAAAAAATCGTTACGTGATCCATTTGAAAACAAAAACTTGGGGGCAGACAAATTGATTTAAAAATGAATGCATAAATTAGGAGATAAATTAAAGCATATAAATGCTTTTTTAAAAAATGCAAAAACAATTACTTGATATTACTTGATATGCATTTTCGCCACCGAATCCACAACTCAATTATACACACGAACAGATAGCGGTAAAAGGCTCCAAAATAAAATTTTGCAGCAATCCAAGCTCATAATATTTGCATAAACTTAAAAAATATTGAATGATTTCATCACCCAAAGAATTTGCCAACAAATTCGCATTCTAACCTGTAAGTGAACAGAAAGCGGTTTTCAAAAGATTAAAGTGAACATCTATATGTAGCAATGTATATATTTAAATGAAATAAATTTATTTAACTTCAAGTTTTACAGACGTCATTTAAACCAATCTTTCATTTAAGTCATGCTTTAAAATCATATAAATTATTTTAAGATACCAAATGCTCCAGCTAGAAAAACTCAAATATATGAAATTTAAAACTCACATGAGCTCCAGCTAAATTACCAAATGTTTTAACGAATAACTTAAGAATGTTGCACGAGTTAAGGTCAAATTGGCGTTCAAATGGTTAATATTTTGAAAAATCAATTGAGTCTTCCTGTCTAGAGGGCAGGGTTGTGAGTCCCACCCAACTAGTCTGATGATTCTCCTTGCAAGTACTGAAGTTGACAAGTATAGAATTTTGAAATAAATGTCTAAATCATAATATAAGAATTTGCAAAGTCTAAATCACCTAGTCTGATCTTCCTCCTTATAAGGGTAGGAGTTGATAGAACTTATATCCTTAAAAAACCTAAACTAAAAAGCTCGAGTACACTTCAGATATAAAAATTTTAAATATTTAATCTGCAATAATGACCATGTTGATAAGAAATTTCAATCGGAGAGGTCTATTTCAAAATTAAATTTTAAAAACTATTTGTATATATATATATCCCTGTGTGTGTGTATGAACCCGATCCTCTGTCAGCAGGACAGAGTTGACAAGATTCATGCTTAATCCTATGTCAAAGTTAAATCTAATCCTCTCAAAGAAAGAAGTAAAATTGATAGGGTTCAAGTCAATCAAATAAGTTCCAGATAGAAAACTTCAACAGGAGTAATCTATTTTCAAAATTAAGTCAAAGTTTAATTGAATAAGTTCAAATAATACATATACAAATGAACCCAATCCTTTGTATGCACGATAGAGTTCACAAATTCAATTATATTTTCATGTAAAAAAGCTTGTTCCTTTATTAGCAAGTAAAGTCGACGGGTTTCAAGTAAAACAATTAAACCTCGATGATAACCGATTTGATAGAAAATTTCAACCGGAGGGGTCTATTTTCAAAATTAAGTCTCAAAATCTATTAAGCAAATTCAAATGATATATATATGAACCCAATTTTTTGTAAGGAGAACAAAGTTGACAAGATTCATATACAGTCATATGTCAATATTAAGCCTAATCATTTACAAGCAAGATGTAAAATTGATAGGGTTCAAATCAAGCAACCAAAACCCCGATGATGATCATGTTGACTTAAAATCTCAACCGAAAATCTAACTTTTAAATCATTTTTCAAATCAAATTCTCGATTTTCAAATCAAATTCTCAAAATAACAAATCAAAAAGCTACAATTAAAATCAATTATCTAAAAACTTAAATAACACAAATCAAAATATTAAAATTAAAATTCAATCACATAAAAACTAAAATTAAAATTCATTCAACTTCCGCAACAATTTGTCGAGGGTAATAAATTTCTGATTGACTTCAGCTCACAAAAGAGTTAATGTCGCATCAAGTGTTTCGTTATACTCACACTCAAAAAAATTTCATGCTAGTAAGGATGTGACCCGTGTCCTCTGACCGAATGGTTGTCGCCAAATTGCACCATTATATTACGATCATGACTACAACGCGTATGTTCCCCAATAATTTTCTACCATTTAAGTTGTGAATCATAAGGGTACTATTGATTGAAGCAAAGCCTTCTGTCAGCTAAAGTTGACTTAAATTTGTCCCCTCAAACAAATATAAATCCCAGATCTATAAGGGTCTCTTGGTCGACACAACTCATGGTTGCTGACAAAATCTTTCAGTCATATTGGGTTGACTGTCTTCTCTAATTCAGTAGATCAAGGACCACGACGATCCAATACGACGTAACCATAAGATCTTGATCAAGTTCATCATTATTTTACCCACCATTTGCATTAAGCTCAAGTGATAAAATTTACAACTTAACTATAAGTTTGCTGCTATTATATGTTAAATATTTAGTGTTTAATGAACATCCTTAATTGAAAATGTTCTCTAGTGATCGAGAAAGGTAATTAACTATAGGTGTTTGCGCTTATGGGAAACCTCGAACCCTATATCAAAAAATCCTAGTAAAATGAAGGTGAAATCTCTGGATAGTGTCTTATCTACAATCTCTCCTATCTTCTAAAAATTTGACCCTCATAAATTTTGCCCAGATGTGTTTTTAATTATTAACTATAGGTGCTTGCGCTTATGGGAAACCTCGAACCCTATATCAAAAAATCCTAGTAAAATGAAGGTGAAATCTCTGGATAGTGCCTTATCTACAGTCTCTCCTATCTTCTAAAATTTTGACCCTCATAAATTTTGCCCAGATATGTTTTTAATCATATCATTAAAAACATAATCTAGAACTTGATATACTGCAAGAAATGCTTAATAAGTCTAACAAGCTATGCGCTATTGGTCACACAGATTTTTATTAGTATGTTATATAGCAGACATTGTGATGTGGGAGTAACCGAGGAGGCGTTTTTTGCGACCATTAGGTGGATTTTTCTCCTATTGGAAGTGGAGTCCACTCTTATTTACTCTAAGTCTATAAATATGTTATTTTTTGTGCTTTTAAGTAGTTTTTTTTTTTCTCAAATTTCCATTCAAGACAGCCGCCGAAGTCCCCCTCTCCCCCCCCCCGCCTTTCCCTGTGGCCGCCACCCAGAATAGCTGCCAACAAGGTTCTTCCTGCAGTTTTTGCATTCCAGCCAAGGTTCCCTGCATTTCCAGTACCCCCACTCATCGCTGTTCTAGCCACCTGCCTTCCACAATACATGCTTTCCTCCTTTCGAATCAGCCACCATCCCTCCCTCTTGTTCTTACCGACAGCTCACAGCATTCCAGCCGCCACACTTCCATCGTCGTTCCAGCCCTCCCTCACTGCCCTTGCTGTCCTAGCCCTCTCTCCTCACTGCCCTCGCTGTCCCGCCATCCCGTTGCTGTTTTCCTGCTGTTTTCCCGTCGGCCCAGCAGCGCCAAACAGCAACCTGCCGCTGTTTGGACTGTCTTCCCTTGCTGCGCTGCTGTTCCAATTGTTGTCATCCCTCATCCACAGTCCGAACACCCGTTCCCTTCTCTGTCGCCACCTCTCCAAGCCCCTCCCGGTGACATGGAATCCGCCCTAACGTGAGTTTGTGTGTCATGTGTGTTGTATCTTCCTTTCAAGTGTATTTGATTGTAACCGCCCTATTTCCTTTCAGTAATAATATTTACTTATTCTATTGTGGTTTGGGTTAACTCCAGCTTTACATTGTGATTAGTATCATCATGCTTAAAAGCAGTGAAAGTTTGTCTTGATTACCTGACAGATCAATAACAGCAAATGAATTGAACTAACCTACAATAAATGAAAATAATTATCAAGCAATAAATATAAGCAATAAGATAAAACTTCATGGTAAAGAATGTCACTACAAGAAAAAAAAATCTCGACAAACCATAAACACAGAAATTAGTTTTAAAGATCCTGTTGAACAAGCAAGTTTTTAAGCCTTAATATCGCAACAAATAAACATATAGCTATAATTCCATACAGATAATTCCTAGAAGTTGTTTTTGGATAATCGAACTCACAGCATAAAAGCAGACATTAGCATCAAAATCAGAACAAACACTGTTTAAAAATCCTTTTGTCACGAAATTCATATGGCTACTTTGAACAATAAATACAAAATAAAGATAATGACTAAGTGGCAGCAGTTTGTCGAAAAGCAAACAAACCTTTTCTCTCTGCTGATGGGATTTTTTCACCTATAGACAAGTCTCCTTCAATTTTAGTAGCCAAAATATCTAACACCACAAGATCTCCTATCTAGTGAAATTAGAACAGTATTAATTCAGTAGCAAAAGCTGTTTACAAATGACAAGCATATCCGCTAGTAAATTAAAATTGGGTAATATAAAACACTCCTTTAGATGTTATGTTATCCGTTTACTAAATTAAAATGAATCAAAAGAGCTTCCAAATGCGGAAACAGTAAAATGGAAACAGATAATCAGCAAGCAAACAGATCTTACAAAACTTAAATCTTCCAACATATTCAGTACTGAGGTCAACGGTGAATAAATAAAAAAATTCAGATACTTAATCACCTTCTTCAATAAATAGGCCAGTTATGAAATTGAAATTGGAAGAAATATAGTAAAGATAGCACCATCATTTCAACAGGTTTCAATTGCCAACTTACTAATGAGCATATTATTGTGAGCTATGTGTATTTAGAGGGGGATTTTATTAGGTTTATTTGTTAAACATTGTCACACCTATGTAAACACATAAGTTGAATGAAATAACAAGTTTTTCAAGAGAAATCAATTCTTTATGATATCATAGCCTAACCCTAATAGCCAGCCTTGGGGCTGATTGGCGTGCATCATCGTCTTCGATAGCGGCATCTTCATCGCGTCTTCATCACAAAACAGTCACCATCAGAGCTAACTGGGATGGACGGCCTGATCATTAGCGAAACCATCACTGTGAGGACTGTTGGTGCTTCCCTTGCTAGCTACTTCATGGGTTGTGGCTTGCTTCGTGGGTTGTGACTTGAGTCGTGCGAGCAGGAAGCGGAGTTAGCTTTGAAAGAAGGAAATTCCGGAGCCTTTGCGCTGTACGATCCCGTCCAGTCAGTGCTCTTCCCAAGCGCAGGAGTGGAAGACGGGAGTTCCAGAGGTCTTTGCACACCCCATGCATCAGGAGCAGAGAAGGAGCTCCTGCAGCTTCAACAGAAGGGAAACTGGCTATTTAGTCATTGCTTTCCAATAAGTCCTAATCGCGACAACTAGGAGCTTCGAAGCAATTCTTTATTTTGCTACAAAGAAGAGGAGAAGTGCAGAGTCCTGCTTGTGTAGGAACAGGGAGGTTCAAGCAGCTTCGCGTGGAATAGAATCTATCAAGGGATTCAGATCGAGCATACAAAGCAAATAATAGTTATATTGAGGATGTCAGCTGACAGAAATATTAGGGAGGTAAAGGATTAAAACTTCTGGGGAAGATGGATCCTAAAGTTCTGAAGACCTTTGTCAAACTCCTATAGGGAGCTGGTGTCTGGACGGGAGCAACTACCTCAACACGTGTTCTAGCTCAGTCGAGTGAACTTCCAGGAATGTGATCAGCTTTGGTTGCCTCGAGTTCGGGAAGGAAAGATGCTCAAGAGTGACCCGCAGGTGCTACAACTGCGGAGAAATGGAACACCCAAGTAAGATGTGTCCAAATCTACCCTAAGGGAGAGGAACAGGTGGACATGGATAGTCTAGAGGTCATGGTTGTAATAGTGGGGGCTAAGGGATAAAAGAAGGGGCTACCGGGCAAGTCTGATGGTATCAGAGAGCGATGGAGAGACAGGGGTGGTCTTTACCGATGAGAATCACGAGTTATTGAAGATGTTAAAGAGAAAGCAGAGAGCAGCATGTGATGTCAATTGGGATGCATCCACCTTATCTTCATCCAAGGGAAACACTGCTAGTTATGCTCACTCAGCCAAAGGTGCTTGTGATACACATGCTCTTGCCTTTATATCCACCATAAGTTTACCAAAACGGACAGTAGATTATGGAGCATATTGACATGTGACAGGTGCCACTAGTGAGTTATCTTCCTATACTCACTTAGCAGTTCCAGATAGCATTCAGAACGTTGATGGTACAATAAAGTCTGTGGTTGGTAAGGGTACAGTGACGTGTATTAATTCTACTATTCTGTCCAATGTTTTGCATGCTCCTTCATTTCCAGCGAACCTTTCATTCATTAGTGTCATTACACTCCGACTAAAATGTGTTGTTTCATTTGATTTTTCAAATGTAATTTTTCAAGAGGAGAACTTGGGGCTAACATGTAACATAATGGACTCTAGTACTTGGATAGAAAAAGGATGGACTTAGCCTTAGCATCCATGATTGAGAATGTTGGAGAAAGAGGATCTAAGAGGAATGTGGAGGATGTATTACTACTACATTACAAACGCATGAGACACTCTTCGTTCAGTGTATTGAGTTGTTTTTATCCATCATTGTATGAAAAGACAAATAAGGAGAAATTGGTATGTGATGCTCGTGAGTTTGGCAAGCTCACTAGGAGCTCTTATGCAGTTCTAGAAATAAGTACTCAGGCGTGTTTGATTTGATACATTCTGATGTATGAGGACCTTGTCCTACTAGTAATATGAATGGTTATCGTTATTTTATTACGTTTATTGATTGTTTTTCTCGTGTTATCAAGATATACTTGATGAAACTGAAGAGTGAAGTGCTTGCTTTAAAAAATTCTACAAGGCAATCCAAACCCAATATGGGGAAATTGTGAAGGCACTGATATCTGATAATGGGACAAAATATATTAACAAAACATTTGGTGGCTTCTAGTCAGCTCAAGGGATACAACACCAAATCACATGTTCATACACACCAGCACATAATGGAGTAACAGAGATGAAGAATCAGAATATTCTAGAGGTAGCCCAGGGCATGATGACGACAATAAATGTCCCACAACACTTATGAGGGCAAATAGTGTTGACAACTGCTTAATTAATTAACTGAATACCTTCAAAAGTGTTGAAGTGGAAGTCTCCATGGTAGATGTTGAAAGAAGACAATAGTGGGATCCTACTATTGAAAGTATTTGGATGTGTATGCTCTGTGAAATATAACATGTCATTTGTAGGGAAGGTGGATCTCAGAGTTGTAAAATGTGTATTCGTGAGTTATTCTGCTACTCAGAAGTATTATGTATGTTGGAGCCCGATTGAGAAGAGACTCTTTGTGAGTATGGATATGTCATTCAGAATTTGAACCATACTATACTCTGGAGGTGAATTCACCCTTTCGTGACTCAACAGACATTTGAGATATGAGACAAGAGAGAGTCAGTAGTAATGACGATGGACTGATGCAAGTGGGATCAATGTCATCCTATGATATAGGATGAATTAACTGAAGAGACAAAAATCGAGGAAATTGAACCCAGAGATGGTGGAATTCAGGATGAAGGTGAGCTAAGGGTATATACCTGGAGGAAGAAGAAAACTGAGGGAATAGAGTATACAGTGTCAATAAGTCTCTTGTCCTAGTCTTCCCCAACTCTTGAAACACTCACCATCCACCTTCGATTCAAAACTCTCAGGTGATATTATTCATCCTCCCTCCACTCCTAATCCCCAAACATTAAGGAGGACCTCCCGCAGCAATGCAGGACATTCTCCTGATTGTTTTGGGTGGGAACTTGACATTGTAAACTTCATTCCTTATTCCAATATCTCACCTTTGCATGGAGCATTCATTGCATCATTGGACTATGTCTCTATACCAAAGTGTTGGTAGGTTGCTAAAAATGATCCCAAGTAGAAATCGGCAATGTATGAAGAGCTTGGAGCTCTTGATAAAAACCGAACATGGGAGATTGTGCCACTACCAGCAATGAAGAAGACAGTTGGATGCAAGTGAATCTTCACGATAAAGCAAATTCTAGAAGAGAAAGTAGAGAGGTTCAAAGCACGACTAGTGACAAAAAGATACAATTGAACGTATGACATTGACTAAGATGAAACATTTGCACCAGTTGCAAAGATGAGCACAGTGAGGACACTGGCTTCTCTGGCAGTGAATGGTGGATGGAGACTCCACCAACACAATGTGAAAAATGTTTTTTTTTTTTTTTTATGGGGAGCTACTGAAGAAGGTATATATGGAGTACCATCGGGATTCAGTACATCCCAGATAGTGGGCAATGTATGCAGGCTCAAGAAGTCACTGTATGGCTTGAAGTAGTCTCCTGGAGCCTGGTTTAACAAGTTTAGAATGGCGATCTTTGGCATGGGATATCAGAAGATTAATGCAGACCACACGATATTCTTTCAGCAACATGAAGGTCGCACTATCACACTTATTGTGTATGTGGATGACATAATTGTCAATAATGATGATGAAACAGAGATTGCCCAACTGAAGGGAAGATTGGGGAAGCAGTTTGAGAAAAAACGACTGGAGTAGCTCATATGCTTTCTTGGGATTGAAGTGACACATGAATCTGAGGGGATGATCCTATCCCACAGAAAGTCTGTATTGGACCTTCTCACAAAGACAGGTATGCAGGGGGTGCAAACCAACAGTTTCTCTAATTGATCGGAAGGTCAGGCTCAGTACAGAGACAGGCGAATCAGTTGATCGTGATAGGTATTAGATGTTGGTGGGCCGTATGATCTATTTGTGTCTAACTCGATCCGATGTCTCTTTTACAGTAGGTGTGGTGAGCCGCTACATGCATGCTCTAAGGAAATGTCATATGGATGCAATGTATCAGATTTTGATGTATTTGAAGTGTGCACTAGGGAAATGGTTCATATTCAAAAAGAATGAACATACAAATATTGAGGGCTTTTGTTATGGTTGAGCAAGTTAAGTTGAAGACAGACGATCCACATCAATATATTGCACGTTTGTGGGTGGCAAGTTGGTCTCGTAGCAGAGCAAGAAACAGTCAATTGTAGCAAGATCAACAACAGAGGCAGAATACAAGACCATGACATTAGGATTTGCTGAGATGATGTGGTCGAAAGCCTCGTTGGTTGAACTCAAGATAGATTAGGAAACTCAAATGCAGTTGTGGTGTGACAACAAGTACGCAATTAGCATTGCTAACAAACTAGTAAAGCACAATAGAACTAAAAATGTGGATATTGATAGATTCTTCCTCAAAGATAAGCTTAATAATAGATTGTTGAAACTAAGTTATGTAGTTACTGGAAAGCAAGTGGTTGACTGCCTCACTAAAGAGCTTAGTTAAGTGGAGTTAGCTAAATTATGTGACAAGATGAGCTTATTGAATATCTTTCGCCCATCTTGAGGGGGTTGTTGTGAGTTGTGTAATTAGAGGGTTTTATTGGGTTTATTTATTAAACATTATAACACCTTTCTCAACATATGTTGAATAAAAGAGCAAGTTATGTGCAGGTTACTAATGAATCATATTATCCTAATTTCTATGAAAAAAAGAGATTAATAATAAATTCATCTATATCACACTAAATTACAAAAAATTATTTGGCACGTAAAAGATTAATGAAATAAATCTGGCCAATTTGAGCAATCAACTAACATGATACTGATAAAAAAATTACCTTAAGGCCTCGCTCAGTTACAATTCTCAAAGATCCTTGAGCTTTATGGCGGCGCCTTAACTCTATGTCAGAAGCAATTTCAGCAGTAATGGACTTGTCAATTTGAACAATGACCTTCAAATTCTTATACTTGCTCTCTGTCAACCATTTGATCTCAGGAGCTACATCAACTGCGACATCGTATCTAAGATATCAAAAAAATCAAGAAAAGTGAACATAATAAGAAAAAGAAGCATTTAAGGAACCTATACTTTGATTTTTTATATTTATAACATTCACATATTTCATATCACATAAAAATACAACCATCAGTAACTTTTAAAAAGTAAAATAAACTTTTTCAAGCATAAATAAAGTGATATAAATGTAAAAACAAAGTTTAAGTGTTAGATAAGTAAATACAGAAAAATTGTGTGGTATGTATGTAAATCTTCCATTAAATTCTAAAAAAGAAAGATTGCATGGTTAGTAAAGATCAGCAATGATTGCTAAAGATCAACAGACAACCTGTACTTTACAGTAAACAAAACCCATGGTATTCCATGACTAAGAAATGGCACATCTGTCGGACTGAAAATGAAACTATTAAATTTGAACTCTTGCAGTACAAGTGGAGTATTCACCGATCGGGAATTTATTAGTAAATTTATCATTAAATTGAGATCAGTATCTAATCAGTATTTTTAGCCGAAAGAAACCATATTCTCAAGAGATGGTAACATTCCAGCATCTATTATTTACAAAATGTGCTCTTTATAAAATTATTGCATTTAACTGGAATTAGTGTATAAACGCCATTCAAAGATGAAATAAACCTTAAATCAGAATAAAAACAATTCCTGCATCTATAACTTATTAATGTGTGATCTCTACATAGTTATAGTGCCCCTCCAGTGGTTCTAAAGAGCATGCCTTATCCATTTGATATAGTTTTTCATCCAAATCCTACTCTAATGTGGTTTCAATTTTTGTTATCGAGAGCATTACCAGTGATATGAAACTTGTTAAAAACCATGAGTTCCTTATCAAGGAGCTTCCCAAAGAGAATTTATTATAGGCAGATTTATAACTTATTAATGTTGCAGCCTTTCCTAGCTTTGGCATAGAGGTCCACTTCTATTCTAATATTACAACGCTCTACCAGGGATTTCACCCTTCCCCAGGGTGTGTTGACGGCCTCTCACCCCACAAGTTCTCCTCACTTGTGCTATCCTAAATGCTACCTTACACATCTGGCATAGGCCAGCCGGCCCCCATCCGAATGGCCTCTCTTCTTGACCCAATCTCCTTTCCCCAGTTAACATATTCCTCTATTATTCAAGGCACTACTCCTCTTTAATTCCTCCACTCTCTAATCCACCTTCCATAAACTTGCTTAACTCCCAAATAATCAAAGCGCAAGCTTCTCTCTCATATTTCCAAGGTGCTAATGAAACTGTCTGTTTCTCTGAAAATGTGGTGTCGAAAAGCATAAAAGCCTGGAGTCTTGCTCTGCTCGCCTTGGGTATGCTGTTTGTTGTCACTTTTCTGCAAAAACCTACTCCAACCTGCTCACAATCTAGGGAAACTAAAAGGTATTTCTTAGCTTCTTTCCCTCAATAAGGGGGTTTCCCTCTAAAGTTAACATTGTGGAGGATTGTGATCGGATATTAAATGGAGGCATTGGTTCATTGTTGGCTGGTCATTCATCTTCCAAAAATGGTTAAGCAAGGAAATATTTTAAAGACATCTCATCTCGGTCAAGCAACCTACCCAATGTTGTTGTCATGAGAACAGTTCAAAATTGATAAAACATCAAGCAACCTACCCAATGTTGTTGTCATGAGAACAGTATATTCAAAATTGATAAAACATTATATCCATCTGTAGAATCCCTCATGGCATCAAAATAAAAACTCATTTTTGTGGAAAGCTTAGAATTTTGACTCCTCACCATGGGGGTCCGACTAGCTGCTTTACAAAATCACGAAAAGGTTTGATTGGGAATATCTTTGGAAACACCTTTCTTAGTTCCCTTCCTATTTTTTAACGAAAAGGTTTGATTGGGAATATCTTTGGAAACACTTTTCTTAGTTCCCTTCCTTTTTTTTTCTTTATTTTAGAATTATTTCCATTCCTAATTTAGACTAGATGTATTTGATAAGTTTGTAAATTAGGAGGTGAATTGGTTTCTCTATGTATATGTACCCTACATGTGAATAATTGAATGAAGTATTTTTCCTCTCAAAGTTTAATTTCTACATGGTGTCGGAGCTCCAGGCTCGAGTTTGACGCAATTAGGGCGTCTTTCATCAACCAACTTCAACTGGATTACTCATTTGCATCCTTTGTCTATGTGCGTTGATCGGTGAACGCTTCGTCAACTTCGTTTAACTCCACTGTTTGAAGCTTCCACAACATGATTCAAAGCTTCCTTGTGTTACATCGGATCGTCTGCATCAATCAGAGCACTGAAACAAACCCAATTTCCTCTGTTGGCTTCTAGGCCCACCGCAAACCTCCTCTCCTTGCAATTGACACTAACTGTAGTTTGCGGAACCTCTCCCGCTCTCCCCTGCAACCAATACTCTTCCTGCAGACCCTTCTCTGTTCACCCGTGCCATCAGAATCTTCCCTGCAGTCAAATTCCCCAACTATAGGCTCTCCTCCACTGGACCATCCTTGCAGAAATCATATGTTCAGTTCTTGTCATCCGATGTATCCCTATTACAGGCCCTCCTCTGGAATTCTCTCAGCGTCCCAATAATCTTCTTGCTACAGGCCCACATCCTCAGGCAGAATCCTCCTATAGCAGCCGCAGCAGCCTATTCTCATTCCTATAATACCAGCAGCAACCAAGCATCTACTCTACAACATGATGACAATTAACAGTTCTAACAGCCAACTTAATAATCTATGGGATTGCAAAGCTAGCGGTACACCTTTGTGGATAAAATGACAATCCATGAGCCTTCACAAGAGGCAAAAATTACTCTCATATTTCATGAAAATAAATGTGAATAAGTTGTAGAATATCTTCCTTATTTTCATAGTTATTGTGGAAATCTAAGAAGATTCACATTTATAAATAATGCATGCAACTGTAATACATTAGTTTGTTGTTTATATATTTTTTATTATAATTTTTTTTTTGTTCGTGGATGCGTGCCCTATTGTCACGACCCGACTCAGTACTTACCATTAACTAAGTCGGGTACCACGGTCGGACGGTATTAACTTCTAACTATTCAAATAATGTTTTAGCAACTTTTCATATATAAAAGAGACAGATCCACAAAATGCAATAAATTTAAATCATCCAACAACATTCATAAACAACATTTTAATACAGAACTGAACAATAAATCAAAAACCGAAAGAAATGGTAAAGAAAACTATTATCAAGAAAATACCTAGCAACAGTGGTTCTTTTCTGATTGACTAGTTCTCTCCTATCAGACGTATCAATCTATAACTTTTATTCTTCTAAAAGAAAACATTAATTGCAACCCTAAGTATGACTTAGTGAGATTATAATCTAATATATATTAAATTATGATGATTATGCTATACATAAATGACCAAAAGAAAATGCAATGCAACTCATTTTCTTATAAAACCTTCAACTTTCACTTTAATTTTTTACCTTTATGCTTCACTTTAAGTATTTACCAGTCATACATGAAGATATCCTTAAAAATATGTCGGAAAACACTCTTTGAATTGTACACGAAAGTACTCACAAATTGTACCTGAAGGTACACTTATACAATTTCTTTTAACGTGCACGAGTACATTGTATTCTCTGTCAGTACTATCTGGAGGAAATCATGTATGACTTAAACATTTATATTTCATTTCATATGAATTAAAATCATTTAAAATGCATCTTCATTTGTTCATTATTTGCCTCCTATTTGTGATACCATTTCAGATTATCAAAATGCAATATAAGAATGAAATACTTGTTTTAAACTATTTAATAAAGCAATTATTGTTTTTAAGTAACATTAATTAAATGCATAAAAGAAAATAATCACCTGCCTTAGTCTTAAAGGACTGTTGTAAATGCTTAATTTCTCACTTCTTGGCCATTATCTATTAATTAAATATGTTTATAATCATAAGAATTCTATTCTAAAGAAAAACTTAAATATATCTAATGACATATAATAAAGATAGCACAAATAAATAATTATATTATTCATTACCTTGAAATAATTTGATTTGTTTCCTTACACAAGTCTCCACATTCCTCTTACAACTAATTGATTCACCTTTAAACTTCTACTTTTATATCTGATTAAATTAAACATGTATTAGCATTTAGCAAGTAAATCAATATTTCACATCCAAGTAATTAATATAACCCAAACTTACCTTACCAATAATTGTTCAACCCGACAATCCTGAAGCAATTATCCTCTAATAATGTCTGATTTAAATTCATAAATTTTAATTGTGAATAATATAATTTATTTAATTACATAAATTTATATATGTAAAACTTAAAAGCATCTGATACTTACCTAAAGCTTCGATCTCATACACACGGTTGGCTTCAGGATCTATATCCCTAACACGCATGAAAGGTTTTGAAGATCCTTCTCTTCTTCCTCCTCTCATTCAGTCCCGACTTATCCCCACAGACGAAAAGCAGGACCTCCTTCGTCTGCAGAAGCAGCACACAAGGATTGTTGGCTTCAACACAGATAGCACTTCAGCTTCTTCTCTTTCGCACTGCACCAACATAAGAAGTCGTAGCTTCCTCTTTCTTGATCGTGGCTCGATCTAAGTAAGACTTCGACGTCGCCGTCTCCCTCTCCTTCCTCTGCCTTAGGTCTCGACACAATATCGCAGGTTCTTCTCCTTCGCACAGCTTGATACTGCATAGTGGCCGCATATTTCTCCTGTGATTTCTTCCTTCCTCGACTAAGGCATGACAGTTTCTCTTCTCGATCTCTCCCATTATCTTTTGTTCATTCTCTAGGTTGGCTCGAATGAGTAATACAACTCTTAAGTCATAACCGAAGGGGTGCTTATCCTTCGTTTCTATTCAATTAATTATTATTATTATTATTTGTTATTACAATCTCCCCTTCTTATAAAATTTCATCCTTGAAATATGAAAATATTAAATACAACAGCAAACATGTCTCAATAGAAAAGTTGAGGATATCTTTCTAGCATCTTAGAGACCTCCCA